ACATCTAACCAACGGATGATTCCCTTACGGCTACATCTAACCAGGATGATTCCCCTACCTAGCATCTAAACCAGGATGAGTTCCGCCTACCTACTCTAACCACGCGATGATTCCCTTACCTACTCTAACCACGATGATTCCCCTACCTATCATCTAAACCACGGATGATTCCCTTTCCTACATCTAATCACGGATGATTCTCCCTACCTACATCTAACCACGGGATGATTGCCGGCCTACCGTACATCATAAACCACGGATGATTCCCTTACCTACATCTAACCTACAGGATGATTCCCTTACCTACATCTAACCACGGATGAATTCCCTTTACCCTACATGCTAACCACAGATGATTCCCCTACCTACATATAACCACGATTGATTTCCCCTAACCATACATGCTATACCACGGTATTGATTCCGCTACTAACATCTAACCACGGGATGATTCCTTACCTACAATCTAACGCCATGGATGATTCCCTTTACCTACATCTAACCACGGATGATTCCCTACCTACATCTAACCACGGATTGATTTCGCCTTAAGCCTACATCATAACCACGGATGATTTCCCCTACCCTACATCTAACGCCCACGGATGAATTCCCTTACGCTACATCTAACCACGGATGATTCCCGCTACGTACAGTCTACCAACGGATGATTCCCTAACTACATCTAAACCACGGATGAATTCCGCGCCTAAACCTACATCTTAACGCGACAGGAATTATTCCGCGTACCTACATCTAAACCATGGATGATCCGCCTAGCCTACATCTAACCCATGATGTTCCCGTTACCACATCTAACCACGGATGATTCCCCTACCTACCATGCTAGCCACGGATGATTTTCCGCTAACCTACATCTAACCACGGATGATTCGCCGCTAGCTACAGCTAAGCTCACGGATGATTTCCGCTTCCTAACTCTAACCACGGATGATTCCCCTACCTACATCTGCTACGCACGTTATGAATTCCCTTGCCTACATCTAACGGCCACGGAATGATTCCCTTACCGCTACATCTAACCACGGATGATTCCCCCTACCTACATCTAACCAGCGGATGATTTCCCCTTAGCTACATCTAAACGCACGGATGATTCCTATACGGCTACATCTAACGCACGGATGATTCCCTTAGCCTACATCTACCACGGATGATTCCCCTACTACATCTAACCACGGATGATTCCCTTACCCTAGCTACATCTAACGCATGGATGATTCCCTACCTACATCTAACCAGCGGAATGAATTCCTTACCGTACCATCTAACCACGGATGATCCCTTACCGTAGCATCTGATACGCACGGATGATGTCCCTTATACCTAACATTAAAGCCAACGGATGATTCCCCTTACCTACATCTAACGCACGAAGTGATTCCCTTACGCTACATCTAACCATCGGAGGTTCCCTACCTACATGCTAACCACGATGATTCCGCCTACCCTACATCTAACCACAGATGATTCCCATACCTACATCTAAACCAGCAGATGGTTCCGGCCTACCTACATCTCACCACGGATGATTCCCTCTACCTACATCTAAGCCACGTATGATTTCGGCCTTAGCCACTATCATCGGTGGAACCACGGATGATTTCGCACCTACAGCGCTAACCACGAATGATTCCCCTACCTACATCTAACCAGCGGATGGTTTCCGCTACCTACATCTAAGCCACAGGAATGATTCCGCCTACCTAACATCTAACCACGGATGATTCCCCACTACATTAACCACGTGGTTCCCCTAGCACTACATCTAAAGCCACGGATGATTCCCACTAACTACATCTAACGCCGGATGATTCCCCTTACGGCTACACGTGGAGACGTGGGACGAAGCATGACAACACGTGATGACGGGTGACAATTTGTGACAACACGTGACGCTTGATGGATCCAACAAGGAGGAATGTAAGCGACGGTGACAATGCGTGGAGACGTGGGACGAAGCATGACAACACGTGATGACGGGTGACAATTTCTGACAACACGTGATGCTTGACGTATCCAACAAGGAGGAATGTAAGTGAGGGTGATTAAAAGTGATGAGGCATGACGACGTGACCGCGCGTCGGCACGTGACGACGGATGGTGAGGCGTGACGACGTGTTCGCACATGGTGACAGATGACAATGCGCGAGGAGTGACAACGTCGCGTGACGCTGCGTGCTGATATTTAAAAATAATAATCCATGATAATTTTACAAAATTATTCTATTTAATTATAGTTGTAAGTAATAATTACTAGTAATTAATTATAAGTGAAATTTTACTCATACTGTAACTTTTAAAATATGAAATGTTTTTTTCTAAAATTGTAGGCGTTAATTTGTACTAATGTAACAGCATATAAGCTGGTCATGTAAAGTCTGCTGACCTAACAAGTTAGTCCGGCTGCTGTGAATACGTGTACGAGCGTACGCGACAGATGCGATCACCTGCATGAGTACATACGACTCTCTGTGTAGGTGGAGATTGGACGCAGACGTACAACTCGACCACCTGCAGCACGGTAGAGTTCCGCTGCAACGACGGCAACTGCATCGGACACGACCTGCTGTGTAACGGCGTCGCGGACTGCCCCGACTCCAGCGACGAGGACTACTGGATGTGTCGCCATTCCGAGGTAGATGTCGACACGCGAATTGGCAGTCGGAGTCGTAATAACCTCCCCGACCGTCTTCCATCAAATACCTTGTGTAGGATTAGTGAATTAGCAGATGAAGCTATTAAAATTATTCTAGGCCAGGCATATTCTAGATAAACCATGCAGTGCGTGTGCGTATGCGAGTATATTTACACCGACGGCAACCTTGCATGCATTCTACATGTGTCTCTGACTGTGTGCATGCGTGCGTGCCTTACAGCACAACACAACCACAGCGGCTCCTGCCACGTGCGACCCAATACAGTTCCGCTGCGAGGAGGGGTCGTCGCCCCAGTGCATTCTGGGTGCATTCGTCTGCGACAAGGAGAAGGACTGCAAAAATGGCGAAGATGAGAAGGACTGTCCGGGTGGGTTGTTGTTTGTTGATTGTTTTTGTTGTTGTTGTTGTTGTTGTGTTATGTTGGTGGTGGTGATGGCGGTGTTTTTCCACGTAAAAGAAACGTTATTCAGTTAAGAAAAACGAAATGTGATTTGAAACAAACAAAAAATGTTTGTCTCCATTTCTGGAAGAGTGGTACTTCTATATAGCGTTTGAGTGCATGCTGATCTTTTCCCGACATCAGTGGAGTCGATACGTTTATAAATGAGAAATCCTAATTCTAAAATTCTAAAAAAAAATCTCGTAAAATTCTCTCGGAGGCAGTTATTTTAAAAGACAGAGTGTACTTTTTGCGCACTTTCCTGTACTAAAAGGGCATTTCATTGTACTTGCGTCACTATAAAGGTTGCTACTCGACTGTTTGTACTGACGACAATGTGAGTGTGTATGTGTTTTTCTCGTGCGCAGAGGGTGGCATGTGCCAGGGCGAAATGTTCCCGTGTCTCTTCAGCGCCGGTTGCCTCTCTAACGACCAGCTGTGCGATGGCCACAAGGACTGCATCGACGGCAGCGACGAGGTGTTCTGTGGTACGTGTCGATAATTCTGCTCCTATAGTTGTATCCGAATGTGAAACTCACTACGTGAACATGCAGCAGGGCTTAGTGCCACTTACCATGTTTCTACGGCTCCCACGGGACAGGTGCAGTGCGTCGATCGTTATACGTCGGTCCCAGTGTCGTGGCGCAGCATGATGTGTGTTGTGTCGTTACGTGTCGTGACACGTACGGACATATCGTGACACATCATGCAATGTCGTGTCGCGTCTTGTGTCGTGAAGTGACGTGACGCGCCGTAACGTGCCGTGACGCGCCGTAACGTGCCGCGACGCATTGTGTTGTGTCGCATCTTGTGTCGTGACGCGACGCGTCACGTCGCGTTGTGTCGTGTCGCGACACATTGTGCCGCGTCTCGTGTCGTGACGCTCCATGGCATGTCGTCACGTGCCGTGACACATCGTGACGTGACGCATCGTGTCGTGACGCGCCATGGCATGTCGTCACGTGCCGTGACACATCGTGACGTGACGCATCGTGTCGTGACGCACCATGGCATGTCGTCACGTGCCGTGACACATCGTGACGTGACGCATTGTGTCGTGACGCGCCATGGCATGACGCGCCATGGCATGTCGTCACGTGCCGTGACACATCGTGACGTGACGCATCGTGTCGTGACGCATCGTGTCGTGACGCGCCATGGCATGTCGTCACGTGCCGTGACACATCGTGACGTGACGCATCGT